TTCCCTTGTCCCTGGGTTTGTTATCCCCTCTTCTTCCCTTCCCCCCTCCTCCCCCTCTCCCATGTCCCCCCGGAACTGTCAGTCCCGTTGTTTTATCTGAGGATGTTTCATGGAGCACTCTGAACGTCTCTTGGAGGTATTCAGGGATGTGCAGTAAGATCTGTGGGGTGTGAAGGGGAACATGTGACAGATGACGTGACCAGTACGGTAAGGACCTTGTGACGTGGATGCAGGCAGAGACTTCTTACACAGAGCAGAGCACCAGGAACTACAGAAGAAATGACTTAAATGGAAGGCTTCCCCCCTCCTCTCGATGTTGAGTCGTAGCAGCCCAGGTGTGTCCCCTTTCTTTCAATGGGGGATAGCGAATGACTTTGGAATTAGGAACTTCCCTTTACAGAATCGCAGAAAGGCGAGCAGGCCATAGAGTGCGGACAGGTACTTGACTTGTCTGCATCCGACTGATTATATTTAGAATTTTAAAGAAACCCTGTGAGGTAAATAAGAAAGAGTCAGATCATGCCAAGAAAAGGGACAGAACACGTTGCACAGGTGGCTGGTGAACATGGAAAGGCGCTTGCCTGGCAGTCTCCCAGAAGTGGCACATTGGAGCATGACACAGGACTTGTTTCTCACCTACTAGGCGGGGTAGCTGACCAAGATGAACAATGCCAAGTGTGGGGCAACCAGAGCTGCCAGGCTCTAGCGAGGGGAGGATGTCGGGTTGGCTGTTGCAGAAGACTTGGCAATAAGTACTACTGTAGAAGTATTTGCATATTTCACAATTCAGGATCCCATTCCTGTGCAGCCACCCATGTTCACGGAAGCTGATGGCAGCAGCATGCGGCTTGGTCACCTGTCGGAGCTCCCTCAGATGTCCACCAACAGCAGAATGGGTGGGTCGGTTGCCGTGTCTGCACACAGTGGAGTTCTTTTAGAGCACTGATCCGCAATGTTGAGAGAAGCCAGCGCCCAACGTGGCATACTGTATGAGCCCAGGCAGAAGTAATCAAAGCCAGAGAGACCGTGAAGAAAGAGCAGCCTGACGAGGATTCGGAGGCTGTTGGGGGACTGGTGCTGTCCTGCTTGTTTGGCCAGCAACTGGTTACAGTCATGGTTTATACATGTCCCAGCTACTGCGTCAATAGTCGTAATTTATTATTATTATTTTAAAGAAAACAACCTACACTTATAACAGGAAACGGCTAAAAAGTCCAGGGTAGAAAATAGAAACTATTGAGCTGAATTCAGTGGAAGCAGGTCAGTGATTGGGAGAGAGAGAACTGGCACTTGCTCCTGTGAGGTCATGGCCCTGAGACCCTCGGGGCAGTTCAGCGTTGTCACACAGGGTCTCTGTGAGGTGAAATCAGCTGGTGGCACCCAGCAGCAGCATCAGTACAAACTCCACTGATAGATGCAGAGCTGCCAACCCTTAAGGTCAGATGCTACCAAGCCAAACGTGCTCGGTCATGTACTGACTGGAAGACACAGGTGGAAATGGAAGGACTAGAAGCCCTGCCAGCTCAAGTTTGTCCTCGGGGAAAGTCACTGGTTGACTTAATGCCTTTTGGGGGAAAAAAACCAAAACATGCAGCAGCAACAACAAAACCACTAGAAGAGCAATTTTACATATTTCCTGACGGGAGGGCAGCAGAGTGAAATTGTTTCCAGTAGTTTGTCCCTTGTGGATGGCTTCAGCCGCTTGAGCAGTGCTTCCCCTGGGGTTCGCTTCACTTGCCCAAGATCTGCCTGGCCTAGTCCGTCCTCGCTGTGTTTGCCTTCTCAGGCTGCCTGCACACAGCCAGGAGAGGGCCAGGGTTCTGCGCGAGGAGGCTTCCTCTACACGCAGCTGAGGGCTCGGGGTGGTGAAGCATGCTTGAGGTCAGGGTTAGAGGGTAGACCCCTTGCAGGGCAGCGTTGAGCCTGGACGTCTGTGAGCGAGCAGAGGTCACCTGACCTGGTCCTCGCACTCTCCTCCAGAGGCTGGGAGCAGTGGGCTAGCGTGGGCTCTGCCTGGTCGGTGGTAGCCTCATCATGGGCTTGGCTGTGAGTTTCTCTCTGGGTGTCTGCCATGGATTCAGGGACTGGTTTGCATTGTCTTCCTGGTGGGACAGGAAATGCCACAGCAGAAAGGTGCCAGGAGTCCAGAGGGTTGTCTTTTGGGAGTCGAGAGAGAAGTGGCCCCTGCATTCGGGTTGTTTGCAGCGTGAGACCTGGTCACAGTTTCAAGTAAGGTCTTGTCTCACGGGACATGGCACTGAGATGCAGGTGTTTCCCACGATGCCGGTTTCCCAGCCTGCAGTGCTCAGGATGCCCCCTGGAAGCTGCCAGAAAGTTTGGCGACATGCTCTTGGGCCCAACGCTTCCCAGATAGGAGTCACTTGTCTGCATGGAGTTCTTTCTTGCCTTTGATTTGTCTATTCAGGTCGAGCTTTTTTTTAAAAGTTTGAATTCAGTTTGAATTCAGTAAAGTTTCAAGCCTCTGCATACCCTTCATTAGATTTCTTTTTGCCCAAATGTAACTGAAAATTACTAATCACATTTCCTGAGCTACTCTAATCAAATGTGACACAGAATGTTTATTTTCTTCCAACCAGAAATGTCAGTTCTTAAAAGAGAGAACCAGTCTGGGACTGTGATGGTGTCTGTGTTGTTCTTCCCCTGCCCGTTTAAGCCCACAGGAGTAAGTTACTGCCACACCGTTACTGGAGGGTTCCCCTCGGAGGTTCACCCCGGTAGCACCTGTCTCCAGCTCTGAGGTGATTGAATTGGTCACTGCACTTCAAGACAGAGCCTGTGCGAGGGCTTTCCTGCCTGCCTCGGCTGTCGGTCCCGCTGGACAGGTGGGAAATGTGTGGCTCAGTGTGAGCACATCGCACTGAACGCACTAGTGAGGCCTTGGACCCCTCTGCCGCACGAGGATGAGGCTGTGGGCAGCAAGGGCCCTTCACCATGAGAGAAAGGGCCTTTTCCTGGAGAGGAGGAAAGACTGGGACTTCCCCTCCCTTCCTCCCTCCCTCCCTCCCCTCTCTGTGATCTCAGAGTAAGGAGTGAAGGGAGATTGATTCCCACAATGCTTCCCGTTGTGCCCACGTCTGCCCTGGGTGGGTTTCTGGTGTCTGCCCACCACTGATGGGCAGGATCACTCGTTAGCTCTTTGTTCAGATCAAATCTCATGAAGTTGGGCACCGTGCTGGGAGGGCACACCCTCTTGATCGTGTTCTCTGTTCTAAAAGAGCCCAGCCTCCAGAAGGAAGGTCCCGGTGCACGTCTGCAAAGCCGTGCAGAGATCCGTGCTCTTTTATATGTTCTGGGACATGTTTTAGAAGAAGGTGAGCACAGTGGACAGTAGTGTTAAGGTTTAGGGCAGTTCCCCTTTGAGTTACTCTGAAAGTAGCAGTACATCTAAACTAGCGTTCCACGAAGAAAAGTGAAGGACGGGTTTGAAATGGAGAGGTTTATGCAAGGGTATGTCAAGAAGTGTTGCTGCTAGGATTCAGCTCACACGTGCATGGGCTTATGTCAAGTAAGACGTGCTCAAACATGTCTCTATGGTGGGTGGGTGGCTGCAGGCAAGTGCTCAGCAGTACACGTTCCTTAGTCTCTAATCCCAGCGGAGGCTTCTGAGGGGATACATGGGCCAGTGACGTGGAAAGCAGAGAGCTCTGCTAGGAGATGATGGTGATTGGGTCCTCAGGGTGGGTTTTCTCCAAGGACACAGGGATGATCAGGGGGCTTCTTAGCCAGAAGTTTGAAAGAAAACGGGCAGCTGCAATGGTGAGAGAACGGCTGGGAGACCGGTGCTGCTGTGTGTGTCTGCTCCTTCTCAGGGGAGCAGGGTTGCCTGAGAGGGCTTTGTTGGGGCTCTACCCCACCCTTGCTCGTCCCCTTTGGACTTTTTGTTCCCAAAGCCCAAAGAACATTTTAAAGGAACACAACTGGAGTACCTCAAGAATGCCCAAAGTGCTATCAGCGCCGAGTTCTTCCGAGCAGGGCCACGGAGGTGAACGAGCCGCTGTTAGAGCGCGTTGACACAGAAGGAGGCGGATGACTCTCGGATAGGTTTCTATGGAATTTGCACCAGGATTTTTTGATTGAGCCCTCGTATAATCTCTCTCTCTCACTTTTGGTAAATTTGAGGCGACAAAACAATTCTCGTGGTCTGACATCATAAAGCCAAATGGCCATTGTCCTGGTGAAGCGTTTTTGTTTGTTTTGGGAAATGCTTTCCTTACTGCCATTTCCTAATTTTTTTCACTGGTAGGTAGTCCTATTAACATCTGGGAAGCCTTTGGTTTAGTGATGAAATCATTATGCCCTGAAGTACTTGGTAGTTTATTGTACTGAAAGGTTGAGTCTGTAAGATGTGGACAAGCGAGACAGGAAGACCCATTTCTCAACTCACATGTAATGAAGGTTGTCTTGAGGTAGCATGGAAACTGGCTTTTTGCCGCTTGTTTTAGGTGACTCAACACGGGGTGCGTTCGTTTCCTGAGAAGAGACCTAAGGCATGAACGAGGGCTTGCTGTTTGCTGAAAGTCAGTAGCTTTGTATCTGCTTCTCTCTCCCAGAACAAGCCTTGCGCCTAGCAGAAATTTCACTACCTCTCCAAAATCGTCAGCAAGCCCCTGTTCCTCAGTGTCTGCCTCTCCTATTGCAAACGGTGACCGCACTAACACCTCTGGGATGCACAGCTCCGGTGTCAGCAGGGGGTAAGAGCCGGCCCTTGCACCTGGCTTCCCTGCCTCTGAGCCCAGTCGCCCTGGCTAGCTGCTCTGCCCCACGCCACGCCTCCTGGGACCAGAGCGCCCAGGGAAGTGGGCTGCATGTGGTTGCTCACTCCGCTTTACACCCGGTGAAGGGGCTTCTGCATTCCGGCTCCCACGGCTGGCTCCCCTGGGAGCTTGTGGTTTCTGCCCAGCCCAGGGCCCCCATGGTTTCATTGGCTGCTGCGCTTGTTTGTGGGCGGCTGGGCTGGCCATATGGCATATTAGCCCCTAGGGGATGGTTGTCAACGGAGGGCCAGCCCTGCCTGTTTCCCGCCTGGATTGCTGTGACCCTTTCTTCCGGCATTGCGGGAACAGCTGCCATGCAGACGGGGCAGCAGAGGCCGGTGAAATGGGAGCACGTACGGGAGCACGTACGGGAGCACTGGGGGCCCGTTGAGGCTGCTGTGGGCTGCTGGGTGTAGCTGGGCCAGCTCCTGCTCAAAACGTTCTTCCCTGAAGTCATCTGGCAGAAACCAAAGGCTGGAGCAGCACCTTCCAGGAGGGTTTCGCCCTAAGGGCGTGCTTCCCGTGTTGAGGGTGGGGGCGGCTGACGCAGGTAGAAGGAGCTCGGGTCATGGCATGATTATGCCAGACAGAATCCTAGCCAGCGGAGGAGCCCCGCCCCCCAGAGGGGATCCCGAGGGCTGTGTGCAGCACTCACTTGGGTCTTGGATGGCATTGTGTTTTCCAGTGGATCTGGCTTCTCCGCATCATACAGTTGTCAAGAGTCCCCGTCGTCTCATGTGCAGCCAGGCCTCTGCGGACTCGGAAACCTGGGAAACACCTGCTTCATGAACTCTGCTTTGCAGGTAGTGGCGAGACTCGCCATCCAAACACCATCCTGCCTCTCAGAGTACTCTGGCCTGGGCGAGAGGGCTGCTGAGGCGCCGGAGGGAGCCTCTCAGAGCGTCCCACCTGTCCCTGCCTTAAGTGAGGACTCGGAGAAGTCACGAGAAGCTCTTGTACCGAGAGTTACAGTTTTTATAAGGAGAAGGTGTCAATTAGCATCAGCCAAGGGAAGAAGTGGATAGAGCAGAGCCCAGGAGGATTCCACGTGGGAAGCGTCTGCCATCCTCTCCCTGCGGAGGCGGACTGCTGCTCTCCAGGAAGGGATGCGTGGCCGTAGACATCGAATACTGCCGCCCAGGAAGCTCACCAAGCTTTAGGGTGTAGGGAAAAAAATAATATTAAATAAAGAAGGGGGGAAAGAGTTCAAACTTCATGATTTAAGTTTCTGTCTCACGATGCTTCTAAAAGAAGAACACGTGAGACAAGAAGTAGGAGTGAAGTAATCAGGGACGAGAGCAGAGGGGTGGCAGCTCAGCCAGAGGAGATGGGTGGACGAGGTTACCTAGAAGAGCAGCGCCCACCTGACTGACAGGAAGAAGAAGCTGCTTAGCCTTAGGTGTGTTTGAGTGTGATTTGATCATTAAAAGCCTCAAAACATACACGCTTCTTGTTTTGGATGACTAGCGGTCAACTTATTTAAAGATGTAGGGAGAAAAAGAAACGATCGTAAACTCTCCAGTGAGTAGACAAAAATGGCCACGCCCCCAGGCAGGTTAACTCTCCAACAAAATAACACACGTTGCCGGGGGTCTAGTGACCATGGACATGTGTAGGCTTTGCCAGCTGCCGCTGCTGTTTTGTTTTCAGAATGAAGACTTAGGTGGTGAACTCCAGTATCTCTGAGACTGTTGGCCTGCGAAGCGGGCCACCAGCTCAGGCTGTAGGGAAGCTGTGCTTGACTTTCACAAGCAGTTCAGCGGGTCTTCGAGGAGTTCCTTTGATTGGGGTGGACCTTCAGTGGCCTCTGAGAACTTGGTTTATTTTGTATCTAGGAGGATATGAGCTGTGGTTGTGTTCTGTTTTAGTGCCTGAGCAATACGGCACCACTGACGGACTACTTTCTCAAAGATGAGTACGAGGCTGAAATCAACAGAGAGAACCCTCTGGGGATGAAGGGTGAGATTGCAGAAGCCTATGCCGAGCTCATTAAGCAGATGTGGTCTGGACGAGACACCCATGTGGCACCCCGCATGTTCAAAGTAGGTTCGCGGCTCTCTTCCTTGTGGCTGGCTGGGGAGGGTGGCTTCCTGCTGTAGGAGGCATTTGGGGATTAAGGTGACATCCGAGAAGAAAAGCGCCACACCAAGTTCAACGCGTACTTCTCTCGGGTTCTTCACCCCACTTTCTGAGGTGGGTGCTCCCCAAGTCATTGGTAAGCTGCTCGCTCATGAGGCTGTGTCATGTGGTGACCGTCTTTACCTGCCCGTTCCTAAGCCAGATGGACACATTCAGTGTAAGTTCCAGAATTATCTGAAGGGTACTCCTGGGCTTTCCAAGCGTGGACCCAAACCCTATACGCTGTGGCTTGAGTTGGGTTTCCCGCAGTCAGGATTTGGGTTGCTACTCTTGGAAGGTGGTCAGTGGATCCCTCTGCCCGGAAGATTTGAGGCGCAAATGGATGGATTGCTGCTCAGGTGTCCCAGGCTCCTCCCTGAGGGTTTGGGGCTCCAGATGCTACAACTGGAGCTTCACTGAGGTCCAAAGAGCCCCGTGAAGCACATGACAGAAAAAGCGTGTCCGTTGCTGATGGAAAGCAGCAGAGGCAGATGAAAGCGCTCTAGCTCCGTGCGCAGATGGCATTCGTGGGTGAAGTCTATCAGTTTCTTACGTTTCCATCACCACATTAAGCTCTAGGATAATGTATGTCAGCTACTGTTCACGTACAAAGACCTAAAGAGACCAGCTCAAACTAGTTAAAACAAACCATCAGCGCATAGTATTAAGGATGTTAAGGAGCCAGGTGGGGCAGTAGTAAACACTTGACTGCTCATTGGAAGGACAGCGTTTTGACAGCTAGCAGGGCCACCTGAGAAAGGCAGACAGTCTGCTTCTGTAAAGGTTCCAACCCTGGAAACTCGGGGTGGCTCTGGTCTAGCGTGTAGGTCACTGTGAGTGGGGCTGGACTCCACAGCATGGGGTTTGGTTGAGGAGGTTGGGGTTCGCGCACCCGTTCTCTAGCTGCACTACCCGCTGCCGTAGAAAATAACCAGGCGGGTGCCAGCACTTGACCACTGTGACCAAGGGGGTGAGCTTTTCATTGTCTCTCATTGTAATTGCTCTGCATCCACATAGGCACGTGGTGTTTGCGGACAACAGCAGGGCGAAAGCAGTGGCTTCCGACCTGGAAGGCGTCAGACTCCCTTGCAGGGCTTATAAGAAGACAGGCTGTTGTCTTCTAAGGGTCCGCCGTTCCCCGAGTTTCTGATTGACTTTGAGGGCAACTGGCCATTTCTGACACGTTCTCGAGGGGTGCCGGTGTTGCTGGTCAGAGGCCACACCTGGGGACCCGTGGTTTAGAGGACAGGCAGGCAGGGAAGTCCCTCCGGCCAATGCAGGCTTCATTTCTCAAGTTCTTAGGAAGACTGGACCAAAGCAGGAAGTCGGAGTGGGCTTCGTGTCAGTAGTTGGCGTGCCTGCCTGGGGCTCCACACTTCTACCCTCTCGGCACAGGTTGGCACAGGTCTTAGGACAGTTGCCGGTCTCACTTGCTGATCCAAGTCCTCTGATGGGGACCACGAGTTTCCTTTAGGCCCCCTGGAGTTAGTGCAGCCAAGCATTCCCTCCCTCAACTGACTACAAAGCTGTGTTTGATGGCAATTTCTGTGTGACTTCAATGGTATTTTGCATTTATATCGTATTGTACCTGGTATGTTTTGTGTTTTCATTGTAGACCCAAGTCGGACGTTTTGCCCCTCAGTTTTCTGGCTACCAGCAACAGGACTCTCAGGAGCTGTTAGCCTTTCTTCTCGACGGCTTGCACGAAGACCTGAACCGAGTGAAGAAGAAGCCCTACTTGGAGCTGAGGGATGCCAATGGGCGGCCAGACGCGGTGGGTACTTCTGAACAGACGCGGTCTCCTCCTGACAGTGTGGCACGTGTTTCCAATCTTTGGGTGTTTGTGTCTTTTTCTGTTGCCGGTGACAAGGATTCGGACTCTGGGGGAGGCCTTCTCTCAGCAAGGGTTCCCTCAGGCTGCTCCTCTGCTGCCCCTCGGCGCCTTCCAGCCAGTCAGCTTGTGCAGGAGGGTGTCAGGGACGAGCCCAGCCCGAGACACTCGGTGCCTGTAGAAGGGCTGAGAGCGTGGGTCTTTGGATTGCACCTGCTCTCCCTGAAATCTGTACATTTCTGTAACTTCTGATCTGTGCACAGAGCATGTGGGGTGTGAGCGCTGCGTTGGGTGATGGCCCGTGAATCGCAAGGTGGGTGGCGCAAACTACCAGCTGCTGTGTTGCAGGAAGTGCAGCTGCCTGCTTCTATCAAGATAGATCGTCTTGGAAACCCTACATACGGTCACTATGCGTCAGGAGGGACTTGGTGGCAGTGGGTTGGATTCACACTTAACCAAGAGTCCTAGTGGCCCAGTAGGAGCCCTGGTTGGCATAGTGGTTACAAGTTGGGCTATTAACTTCAAGGTCAGTAGTTCAAAGCCCCCAGCCGCCCCCATAAACAGTTACAGTCTCGGAAACTCAGAGCAGTTTTACCCTGTCCTATCAGGCTCGCTGTGTCAGCATTGATTCGATGGCATTGAGTTTGGAGTGGCCTAGTAGTTAAATGCTTAGTTGCTAACCAATAGGTTGCAGCTTCAAACCCACCAGCTACTCTGGTGGAGAAAGACGTGCCAGTATCGCAGCTTTGGAGACCCTGTAGGGGTAATTCTACTCTAGCATTTGGCGGCAGTGAATGTGTTTTAAATTGTTTAGATCATCAATATGAATATTTCAAAATAGCATTTAGATCTTAAAAAGAACACGAGTTACACACAGTGAGAAACTGCTGACCGGGGCCGATGTGAAGGAGTGCTGGTAGCGTAGTGGGTGAGCACTCGGCCATCGCAGTGGGACCACTGGGTGCTCTGGGGCGGCCCACTCCAGTGAAGAGTCTGGACCAGGAGACCCGTGGGACCAGGCCGCCCCGTCCTAGAGGGCCGCGCGGAGCCAGAACTACAGCAGCAACACAGCGTGTGGCTTTAACATCCCTGAAGGGAGTTCCCTGGGGGTGGGGAGTGGGGGCATTCTTGCCCTGGTCAGGAGCAGGTGCCGCTTGTCTCCCGGCAGAGGACACACGGACCTCTGGTTTCCTACACATCCTCAGCTGACATCTTGTGAAACGTGGGCTGGGCATAGGGCTGGCCTGTGGCATGAGCAAGATGTGATACAGCAGTCCCACCCTCCCTGCCCACTTCTGGTGCGCCAGGTTCTGGCTGAGAGTCCTTCTAGATGCAGGGCTGAAGGATGGAGACCCATGCAGAATGTCCTGTTGACCCTTCCCCTCTCTTCCAGGTGGTAGCTAAGGAAGCCTGGGAGAACCACAGGTTACGGAATGACTCTGTCATCGTGGACACGTTTCATGGCCTCTTCAAATCCACTTTGGTTTGCCCAGAATGTGCGAAGGTTTCCGTGACCTTTGACCCATTTTGCTATTTGACTCTCCCACTGCCCTTGAAGAAAGATCGAATTATGGAGGTCTTCCTGGTTCCTGCTGACCCTTGCTGCAGACCCACCCAGGTAACAGAATCAGCCCCCTCACGTACCTCTGCAAGCGCTCCCCAGACCCTGGGTAGCTGCTTCCATCTGCTGCAAGGGTCTCTGTGCAGTCCCATGTCATTCCTGCCTGCTGCGAAGGTCTGTTGGCGTCTCTCGTCACTTTCTTGCCCATGACCCAGTTGCCCATAGAGTTAACCTCGTCTACTGCGAGATCCTTGATGCCAAGGGTTGCCGACCCAGGAGCAAGGTGCTTTCCATGGTCAGGCTGCCTCCCAGCCCCTCTCTGCGAGGTCTGTGTCCAGCCCCCTGGAGGCTCCAGCCTTGCGGTGCGGTGCAGTCTGCTGGCTCTACTTCCACCAGGAGAGAGGGGCCTGTGGGACAGGGCGGCAGTGTGCGTGGTTTCAGTGACCCTGTAAAGGAGGCCGGGGGCTGCTTTCGAAAGTTAGGCATGGAAGAGAATCTTTGGGAGGAGAGAGGTCCGGCTCCCAAGCTCTGCTGCCTGAAGAGAGAGGCTTGGAGATGCGGACTTCTGCCGGGAACTCCCGGGGCCCTGACCTCCTCATGCACCGCTTCTGAAAGGGCATCTCCATCCCCAGCAGGCAGACTCTGCCCGCCTCATCTCCCGCCCTGCGCCCAGGTGTCCCCAAGGCCATTGCCATCCCCTGGTCCTCTCTCCCCCGCAGTACCGCGTGACTGTGCCGCTGATGGGCGCCGTGTCGGACCTGTGCGAGGCGCTCTCCAGGCTCTCTGGCATTGCTGCGGAAAACGTGAGGCGGGCTCCTTGCTGGCCTTCCCTCCCCGCCCCCTCCCCACTGCGATCACACAAGACCCGGTCGGAGCAGGAGGAGAGCTTGGCTCTCAGCTTGTTGTCCCCTCCTCTGGGGCCTCTGCGGTAAAATGATGGCCCGGAGTTCCTTCCCAGCTCCAAGCTCCGGGTGGTGGGACATTGTGATGTTCTTGCTGGGCCCTGCTGGGCTTTCTAGTGAGCCTGGCACTGTGGAGAGGCGGGGGAAGTAGAGCCCTCTGTGTGGAGACTCCCAGCCCCGGCTGAGAGTACCAGCCCCAGCCTCTCCCTCCCCCAAGCCCTGGTCAGTGGCCTAAACTTCCGCCCCCACCCCCTCGCAAGCTGGTTTGGACCATTCCAGTGTCCTCTGATCAGTCCTCACTGCCACATCAGGCTCCCCAGCAGCCCTGCCACCCAAGGGTGCAGGTCCCCTCATGGCCTTGGGGAGAGGTCATCAGCATGGGCACAGCTGGTGGCAGCCATGCTGCTCCCCTGAGCCAGGGGCCTGAGCATGGGGCCAGCTGCCTGGCAGCTGCGCTTCACTGGAGGCTTTGCTGAGTTCAGCGGGCAGTGGTACTCAGTTCACTCACCCTCCTCTGACTCGCAGATGGTGGTCACGGATGTGTATAATCACCGGTTCCACAAGATTTTCCAAATGGACGAAGGTTTGAACCACATCATGCCTCGGGATGATATTTTCGTGTGAGTCCCCGCTGCTCTTGCTTAGGGTCAGGAGGGACCGTTCTAGAGGCTGAGGAGCCGGCTCTGCAGGCAGTCCGTGTGCGTGGGTGTGAGGGGCTGTGAGAGCTGTCCGTGCTGAGTACACACCGGCACGGACAGAGCCTTTGTCAACAGTTGCTGCCTGTTCGGTTGCCCTACAGATGCGTCCTCTGTCAGCAGTGCCTTTCTCAAAGGTGGCACAATGTGAGAGACCTGGGGCGGCAGAAGGGGTGGGGCCCAGGGAGGGAGGCTGGCCTGTCAGGCAGGTGCTGTGATAGCTCAGAGCTCTGGCTCCCCAGGAAGTGAGTTGTTTATCTGAGGAGACTGTTTCCTCCTCCCTGTGGGGACCAAGCCCAATGCTGAGTCACTTCTGACTCACGGTGACTCTAGGGCAGGGTAGAAACCGATGGGTTCCCAAGGACGTAAATCTTTCTGGGAGCTGCCTCATCTTTCTCCTGTGGAGTGACTGGTGGGTTCAAACCACCGACCTTGTGGTTAGCACTTGAGCACTCAACCACACACCACCAGACCAAATATGAAACCCACGGATCCGGAGCAACCCTTTCTGGGGTTTCCATGAATGTAGCTCTTTTTTTTTTAAAGATCATTTTATTGGGGCTCTTAGAGCTCTTAGAACGATCCTTACATCAGTTGTATCAAGCATATTTGTACATATGTTGCCATCATTATTTTCGAAACATTTGCTTTCTATTTGAACCCGTGGTATCACCTCCTCCTACACCCCTCCCTCCCCGCCCCCGTGAGCCTGGGGCTGTCATTCTTGCGGGGAGCAAATGGCCTCACCTCCTGAGGAGCTGCTGGTCCCTCGAGTCGAGTCGAGTCGTGGGCTTAGCTGTCAGCAGTCAGCACTTCCCCAACAGCGTCAGCCGGGCTCCCTCCTGTGGGCCCTCAGGAGGCCAGCCAGACTCCCTGCCAGTATGCCAGGATGAAATGATAGTTGTCTTATTAAAATAATAACAGTATTTAAAAAAATAATTTTATTGGGGGCTCGTACAACTCTTATCACAAGCCATCCATCCATCCATCCATCCATCCATCCATCCATCCATCCATCCATCCATCTATCCGTTGTGTCTAGCACATTTGTACATTTGTTGCCATCGTCATTCTCAAAACATTTGCTTTCTACTTGAGCCCTTGGTATCAGCTCCTCATTTTTCCCCTCCCTCCTCACCCGCTCCCTCACGAACCCTTGATAATTTATAAATTATTATTTTGTCATATCTTACACTGTCTGAAGTCTCCCTTCACCCACTTTTCTGTTGTCTGTCCCCCAGGAAGGGGGGGTTATATGTAGACCTTTGTTATCGCTTTCCCCCTTTTTCCCCCACTTTTCCTCCACCCTCCCATTATCACCACTCTTACCACTGGTCCTGAAGGGATCATCTGTCCTGGATTCCCTGTGTTTCCAATTCCTATCTGTACCAGCGTACCTCCTCTGGTCTAGCCAGATTTGTAAGGTAGAATTGGGATCATGATAGTGGGGTGGGGGCGCGGGGAGCATTAAAGAACTAGAGGAAAGTTGTATGTTTCATCAGTGCTGCACTGCACCCTGACTGGCTCATCTCCTCCCCGAGACCCTTCTGTAAGGCGATGTCCAGTTGCCTACAGATGGGTTTGGGTCGCCACTCTACACCCCCTCATTCACAGTAATAGGATTTTTGGTTCTTTGATGCCTGATACCTGATCCCATCGACACCTCATGATCACACAGGCTGGTGTGCTTCTTCCATGTGGGCTTTGTTGCTTCTCAGTTAGATGGCTGCTTGTTTATCTTCAAGTCTTTAAGATCCCAGACGCTAGATCTTTTGATAGCTTTCCTCACCACATTTGCTTATGCACCCGCTTTGTCTCAGCGATTGTGTTGGCAAGGTGAGCATCATGGAATGCCAGTTTAATAGAACAAAGGGTTCTTGCATTGAGGGAGTACTTGAGTAGAGGCCCAATGTCCATCTGCTACCTTAATACTAAACCTATACATATATGCACATAGATCTATTTCTCCATCCTCATATATCAATATGTTTATGTAGGTACATGCCTGTATTTAGACCTCTATAAATGCCCACATTAATATTTCTTGAACATGTACACTGCCTTATTTAGATCTCACCAAACTGATACGGTGGGTAATCTCTTTATCCAATACATGAGCAGACTGAGAGGTTCAGGTGCTTGCCCTGGGTCATAGCAACTTGAAGGTGAGACCTGGAACCTGGGCCAGCCTTGCTCTTGGCCGGTTGATTGCTGACCACTCCACTGGCCCACAGGTCCCCCCCCCCGAGCATTGCCCTTTCTGAACATGGGCGTTTTTGTGAGTTTTCCTTAGAAACCCTCTCTTCCGCCTGTGTCATCTGCCGTCAGGGCTGTTTTCCAGGACTCTCAGAAGATGGTGCTCACATTTAGAGTTTGCAAACATTAAAGCAGTAAGTCTGTCTGCCCCTTTAGGAAGGGGGAGACACTACAGTCAGTTTCCCCTGATTTTAACCTCGGTTCTCGTTCCTCAGTGGCGGAGAAGTTGCAGGTTGGACTGCTAACTACTAGGTCAGCAGTTTGAAACCACTAACTGCTCCTTGGAAGAAAGACAAAGCTTTCTTCTCCTGTCAAGTACCAGTCTGGGAAACTCACTAGGGTGGTTCTACCCTGCCCTCTCGGGCTGCCTTGAGTTGGCATCACCGATGGCAGTGACTTGAGTTCTAGGCGAAAGCATCGTTAAATCTCAAACCCCCTCCCCCTTGCTGCGTACTACAAACATTTTTCAAAATAATTGATTTTTATTTATCTTTTCCATTGATTTTTATTTAATATTCCTTTGGTTATTTATGATCTTCAAAAACATGATTCTTTTACATCAGTGTTTTTGAACAAATAGGGCAAACAATTAGTTTTATACACTGGTTGAAAAAAAAAACACAAAAAAACCAAACGGATCTTTACTAATATTCTGGGTATGCATTCTGATACAATATTTAGGTGTTTTTAGAGGGCAGAACACTGACCATGCAACTTTAATAGTTGATCTCCTGGGTGTTGGGAGGCGACCGTGGTGCCGGGTGATGGTCCAGGTGACAGCCATCACCTATGTGCCAGGGTCCCCTTGCGAGTGCAAGGTCTTGGTTGTGGGAACAAGGCGGGGCAGGTTCATGGGGTGTAGACAGTGCTCTTCTGTGGGCCCCATAACCCAGACTCCTCTTGGAAGGGCTTTTGCAGCTCAGCCGAGGAGTGCCCATTCGAATAGCTCGCGCCGCTGCACACGGCCTCTCCCTCGCGGACCTGCTTCTGAAGGCGCCCTCTGTCTCTGACACAGGTACGAGGTCTGCAGCACGTCGGCGGACGGCTCCGAGTGTGTCACGCTGCCAGTCTACTTCAGGGAGAGGAAGGCCCGGCCGTCGAGCACGTCCTGCGGGGCGGTGCTGTATGGGCAACCCCTGCTGGTCTCTGTCCCCAAGCACAAGCTGACCCTTGAGTCCCTGTATCAAGCTGTTTGTGAGCGTATCAGGTCGGTGGCAGGGATGCGGTTTTGATGGTATCAGAGCTCAAGATAGGTGCAACAGTGGTAGTGACAGCCCCCTGAAGAGCACCCGTGGGACCCCTTGGCCCCTGGGCAGCCGATTGAGCTGTTAGAGCACCAAGCACACCCGGCGCCCACGCCCGTGGTCCGCAAAATCATTCCTGTCTGTCACACCCGTGTCAGCTGGTTTAGGGCGCCTAGTGCTTGATAGCGTTTCGTATTTGAATATCACCTCTGAGGTGCTCCATGGTCATTGTGAAGTGGTTACTAACCTTCCTGGAAAATCGTTGTTAATGTTGCTGCTGGCTGATCTTGCTGGAAGGCTTGAAGCACTTCCTTGAATCTTCAGTGACTCAACAATTCAATTCGACATGTGATCTTTTGGGTCCCTCTCAGTTTCTAAAAGTACTCAGTCCTTGTATGATTGTAAGATGCACGTTTCTTTTGCGTTCAGCTGAGTGTATGATCCGTGAACTCTTTGCAGTCGGAGTAGTCCAGGAATGCACGAGGGTGAGTGTTACAACAATGGCCCGTCTCTGTCTCTCTTTCTGCAGCCGCTACATAAAACAGCCTCTGCCTGATGAGTGTGGCAGCTCGCCCTTGGAGCCGGGAGCCTGCAATGGCTCCAGGGGCAGCTGTGAAGGTGAGCGCTCGCCGTGCTGTGGGGCTGTGACAGACCACATCCCTCCTGACCTCCCTCTTCTTCCAAAGGTGCTGTGCGCATGGGCGAGGGAGGCTGAGACTGGGGTGGGGGCCGGGCCCTGCCTGGAGCAGCAGTCCTGGGACTCACACCTGCTGCACCTGGGCTTGCCCAGCACTGTCCACGCAGGCTTTCTCGGAGACTTAGGGTCTAGGCCAAGCTTCTGAGTCTAGAGGGAGTGAGTGTCCAGTCCAAGGTGATTAAGTCGCAGGATTTGAATTCTGACCTGTGGAGGTCAGATTACAAAGTGGGTGCTTGCCCAGCTCTGTCGGCAGAGCTGGTCCCTTGACTGTCGGACACCATTGCAGTCTGGGACTGCCTGCCAGTGACTGCCAGGTCAGCCTGGTCCCTGAGAGGATGGCATCTCGGCCAGGCTGTCAGAAGGCAGACGGCTGTCTGGGTGCTCTCGCCTTTCTGTTCAGGAAGGAGGGTGGTCAGCTCCCGACCCCCTCTGCTGGGGGAGAGAGGGATGGAGGGAGGACGTCATGGTCTGGAAAGCCCTCGCTGTTCTGCGTGACCGTGTGACAAGCTGTCCCTGACAGGAGGGCTATTTGTGGGCGTGCCTCTCACTTTATGGGGCTTGGGTGATCTGCCAGCTTTGTTCCTCCACAACCAGAGACTTCTGCCCAGTTGGTGCCACAAATTCTCCTTGGTGGGGAATCTAGACTGCTAGATTCCTTTCTTCAGGGCGTTCATGGTCCTGGACAGTGACCTCCAGGTTTCTGGTCCTTGCTGGATCATCCCAATACTTTATGGTGTTTTAGGGCTGAGTAGATGTTATCAGAATGCCTCATTCCATTCCCACTAGGCATGAACAGGAATGTGACTGGGGCACAGGTCCCCCAGGCGGAGGTGGTGGTCGTGGTAGTGGACGTCTCTGAGCAGTCCCAGGGTGACCTGTGGATTCTCACGCTTTGGTAGATAGGACGCTCCAGATGTGGGGTGGACTTGGACACGTTAGCTCCTCCCTCTGAGCCTGGGTTACCCACGTGCAAGTAGAAAGATGCCCCTGTTCACAGGGTAGCGACTGCAACAGAGTGAATGCTCATGTGTCCTAACCTGCCGGCTGCATACCCGGTGCGCATATGCTTGTAAGTGTTTGCCGAGGCTGTAAGTTCCCTGGTCGGGAACAAGCACTCCCTCCTTTTGGAGCCTACAGATGAGTGTTGGTACCTCGGCTTTGGATCCTGCTTAACTTGAAGTGGCCTCTTTACTGCCAGCTGCCCCTGGCAGCTCAGAGCTGCTTTCGGGGCCCCTCCTTCCATCCTCTCGCATCCGCTGTGTGGCGTCTGATCCTGGCAGCATTGGAAGAAAGTTCCTGAGATAGACCCCCCAGGGGCCGAGATGGTGCAGTGGCAGGGGCTCGCCTCCATTCAGCGGGGTCGAGGCCAGCATTGGCGCTTTCTCTCTGGGGGCAGCAGGCAGGGCAGTGGTTTCCGGGGCCAATGGGCTGAGGCAGGAAAGGAGCCTCTGATTTCGGGGCCGGTGGCTCTGGGGTGTCACGGAAGCTGGCTGTGTGAGTAGTGCAGAGTGGGGCTCACACCACAGCTTCCTCTGTGATCCTGCTGCTCCCGTGTCCCCAAGAGAAACTGCCTTGTCCTGGGCCCAACTTGGTCTTGCGAATACTCCCAAGGTTGGCTGTTCTTCTGATGTAGAACTTACCTTTCTGTCCTCCTTGCTAACATACTCACCGACCTTCAGTCTGTAAACTTCACATTTTGAATCTGCTCTTCCCTCTGAATTTGCCATCACCTTTTGGGAGTTGTCCCAGCTTTTGCTGAAGTTACTCGTGATACCATAGCGCTCCCTTGGACTGTAGGCCCCAAGAGGGGAGATCTCTGTCTGCGGGGTTGGTGGGGCCAAGCAGGCACCTCGGACACATGTGGAGGAACATGCAGCAGGCGACTCTGTGGGAGGGGCCGATTCCTTAGTGTCTCTTCTTAAAGCGCTTAGAATTGGCTTCTCCACCGCATTGCTTTGCAGTCGCCTGAGTCTTGGGTGTGTGTTGGGTTTCAGCCCTCCCCGTGAGGCAGAGAGAATGAGACGGTGAGGGTGAAGTCCGTAGACTAGCTACGTGGCAAGGACGCCCAAAGTAGGGGTGGCAGGCCCGCCGACGCCTTCCTGCTTTGGGGTGAGTCGGTGAACTCCCCTGAACCTGTCGTGAGGCTGTGGCGCGTCCCATGTGAGTGTCCTGTCATTGCGCAGGGCAGTTGTACGCTCACACACCGAGAAATAAGTCTAGAGGGAAACTCCGCGACGGGCTTTGAAAGTTCCTTCGTGGCATCGAAATGGTGGCACATGGTCTGCACTCTGTTTCCACTCGTGTGGCAGGAGAAGAGGAGGAGATGGAGCACCAGGATGAAGGCAAGGAGCAGCTCTCGGAGACGGACGGCAGTGGGGAGGAAGAGCTGGGCAGCGACCCCAGTGACACCGACCCGAAGAAGGGCAAGGGCCCCAAGAGACTTTTCACCTTCAGCCTTGTGAACTCCTACGGCACCGCCGACATAAATTCACTCGCAGCCGACGGGAAACTACTTAAACTCAACGGTGAGCAGCACTCTGGCCTCCACTGGGCTCTTGGTGGGATTCAAGGCCTATCTGAAAACCAGTCTCCATGCCGATGGTCAGTTCTACTCGAGAACAGCTGCCCCCAGTGCTCGCTACACTGGGCTGTCATAGTGTCTGTGTGGCTTGAAGCCCCCCAATCGCTTAATCAGATGGCGCCTTCGTGTGGGCAGGAAGTAAACACACACACACACACCATCACCCCCTCTCCCCCTGAAACCCTTATTTTACTTGCTGTCCCTGTAGGTTCATCAACCCTGGGTTTTATAGACCGAAAACCCTAACACAACTCCAGAGGGTGACCTCCAGTGACACCACACCCTAATAGGGACAAACGAGACCACACAAACCAAAGTTACAGAACGTTTTGGAAACCAGATCAGGTCCTGCCTGTATGTTTACTCCTAAGAATACTTCCGTCCCTGGTGCCCGGGGGTTTCAGTGGCTGTGCATTAGCAGGGCTGTGCAGACGGGGAAAGGCGTGTCCTAGGACACGTCGATGTGCTTTGTGTACGAGAAGCACGAGTGGCCAGTGAGACCACCTTTCAGCTTTTCTCGTCGATTTTCAGTGGTTTGCAGATAAGTCCCTTGGCATGGGTTTACGTGTGTGTATTTTGCTTGGGGTTTTGCTGAGCTAATTAGCTCTTGGATTTGTGCGCTCCCTGCCACCGAGCTGATGCTAATTCTGTTCCAGTGTCTGTCTGCCTGCCTGCCTCCTCATCTGTGAGCCCGCCTGTCTCCTTTCCTCGTGGTTGTGGGTCGTCGTCTCCTACTCTTTCCATGCCTGGAAGTGATGTAGGGAATGTGCAGCCGGGTGAGGTGTGCACTCGTAGCTGCTCTGTTTTGCCATACTCCTTTCCAAAGTACTAGATGTGCCTCCGGCATCACATTCGTTACGTGATGGCCTGGGAGGCTTGCTTTTGAGTCTTGTCAGGCTGACCACGAGTAACCCTCAGTCTAAGGGAGGAGGCCCCACACTGGCCTGAGGGCCAAGGCCAGCTGACTACCTTTTTCCCCCATGGCCTCTGAGCCAAGAAGGTTTTACATATCTATGTGATTAAGAAGAAGAAGAGTATTTGTGGACGACACTGAAAATTATGTAATTCAAACCCTTTATGTGTTGCCTGTCCAGCTGTGGAGTGGAGCAGGGTGACAGGCTGTCTACGAGGGGTCCCAGTGCCTATAAATCTGTTACTTAACTGGCCATTCACAGAGACCGCTCGCTGCCCTTGGGCTTGGGGCTCATTGCCCTCTGCTACTAAGATAGGCCGACTGCAGAGGGGAACGGCGAGGCTGGCTGCTCCGCAAAGACCCACAGTCTCAGAGCCACGCTTCTGCTCCGCCCTGGAGGGTTGCTGGGGTGGGCGGGGGGTTGGGTCTGGGTGCCCCTGCGGTACTGCTGTGCAGACATGGACCGCTGACCTCCACGTTGGTGGTTCAGTTCCGTGGGAGAAAAAGGAGGCTGGGGAGCCCTGGATGGGGTCACTGTGAGTGCTCGTGGGTTTTGATTGTCTTTCTGCAGGTAGTAGTGGGGTGTACAAAGGTGGCAGGTGATGAGGGACAAGATTGGTGGCATGACCCCTATGTGGTTCTTCCTACCTGTGTCATCTCTCCCTGTGACATGCCCCTGCTCGTCATGAATGACGCTTTGCTGCTCTTCCACAGCGCGATCCACACTGGCCATCGACTGGGACAACGAGACCCGGAACCTTTACTATGACGAGCAGGAGTCTGAAGTAGGTCCCTCGGGGTTCTTGGTCTCTAGTGTGAGCTGGTCTCCCGCTATGTCTGACAGCACCATGCCAAGTTCTGTTTGTAGCTTGGAGCACACGGTACTTAGAGATGCCATTTACGTTCAGAGGCCCCTGAGAGCGGCCTCTGTTGATGAAGCCTAAGCTCCCCAGAAGCCTGTCGAGTCCTGGTCTCAGCGCGGACTTCCTTGCAGGCCTGCGACAAGCACGTGAGCATGCTGCAGCCGCAGAAGAAGAAGAAGACCTCGGTGGCCCTGCGGGACTGCATCGAGCTCTTCACCACCATGGAGACCCTTGGGGAGCACGACCCCTGGTACGCAGCCCCCGCTGTCAGCAGGTCTCCCCTCGCCCTGTGTGCGCACGCTAGGACCTCTGCACTGTATTGCAGTCACTTGCTTATGCGGCCTCTGCTGGGTGAGCTCTTTTGCAGACTAAGCCCTGCTTGTTAAGGGGCTAGATACTTCCCTGCCCTGAAGCGGCCACGCTCAGGTTGGGCCTTGACCTGGAGGCTCCCCCCCCACCCCCCACCCACTCAGCACAGGTCTCTCTTTCCCCTCCAGGTACTGTCCCAACTGTAAGAAGCATCAACAGGCCACAAAGAAGTTTGACCTGTGGTCCTTGCCCAAGATCCTGGTGGTCCACCTGAAGCGATTCTCCTACAACAGATACTGGAGGGATAAGCTGGACACGGTCGTGGAGTTCCCGGTCAGGTGCGTCCCGGTCAGGTGCACACCAGGCAGCGACTCAGGGCCAGTCGGCGGCTGGCTTTGTGTCAGATTTCCCTGTGTTGGGGGTGTGTTCCTGGGCTGCCCTTCACTCTCCACTGTCCCATCCTTGGGGAAAAGCCTCTCCCTAGAAGCTCTTCCCAGGCTCTGCATGGGCTGAGCGGTGCCCACTCCGCTGCTGTCGGCCCCTCAGGAGCCCTGCCGCAGACTGGCAGGAGCCCCGGTGGCCCAGCAGGGCCGCACAGGCATCCGTACTTTGTAGTGCTTTCTTGTGTGAACCCTACAGGAGGTGCCAGTGGAGGGGGGAGAAGCAGTAGTTTAGTTATTTATTGAGTTTGAAATCATGAGTACAATGTAGGGGAGGCTTTCTGAGCCCGTGTGGTCTTTGGCTTAAGTGAGGGCAGTCCCGGTGGTGAATTTGGGGGAACAGCTGCCGGAACTGATGGTCGCCAGGCCCTTCCTCCTTCCCTAGTCTGCTCTCGGAGCTTCTCCCATTGTCTGGTCAGAACACAGGCCCAGTCCCTTCTGCTGTGGGGGTGGCGGCCTTTGGCTTCTTTGCATGAGTTTCACTTGTCTACGGGCTGTTTCTGTTTGTGCTCAGAGCTCTGAACATGTCGGAGTTCGTGTGTGACCGGTCGGCAAGGCCCTACGTGTACGACCTCATCGCCGTGTCCAATCACTATGGTGCCATGGGGGTTGGCCACTGTAAGTACCTCATGTGCTGAACCTTGGCCAACCAGCTTGTATCACGTTGCCCCGGCCTTGGGCTCCAGGCTGCCCACTGTCCTTCCACCTTGGGCTCCAGCCCTCACCTGTCCATTCCTGGCCACTGGAAAGGAAGGGGCGGGGCATGGCTTTCTCTCCCACGACTTCACAGAAGTCTCCTCTCCAGGTAGACTTCATCCCAATGCGGCCACAGGGCTACCTGTGGCTGCAGGCGAGGCTGGACACCTGCAGGGTCCTCCCTTCTGGGGTGGGGGGGGCTGTTGGTGGTCAGTCACAGAGTGTGGCCCGCCCCGTAGCACTCACTGCTCTTGACCTAGCTTTTTTGTCGCAACCAGGATTTTGGCCTACTCCTGTGTTTGCTTCTTGCCAATGTGAGTCCTGAGGCCCCTCACCCGCTGCCATCAGCTCTCTGCCCCTCGGGTTTCTGAGTGCTGTTCAGTCATTGCTGTCAGCGGGGTCCACGTAGACCGAGCAGGGCAAGAAAGAACAGTGCCCAAGGCAGCCCTCCTTGCCACAGGGAGGTGGCATAGCTCGCCTCAAGAAGGCATGCGGGTTGTGCCACAAGGATGTGAACCCTGCTCTGCGTTTCCCTCTGGAGGCTGCTTGTTCCCACCGCACACACTGCGCATGCAAGCGCCTCGCCTTGGCGTCCTCAGTGCACCTGTCCCCAGACCAGGCTGGCTGGGGGAGGTGGGGAGAGTCTGGTGCCCCTCCCCACTGTGGGCCCAAGGTTGGAACTCAGGGCCCAAAGTGACCAGAGCTCCTGCTGTCAGCCCAGCACAGGCCAGGAGCACCTTTGCCGGCCCCTCTCTCTCCTGCCACGGAAAGGGTAGGCGTGCTGGTGAGGAAGCAGCTTGCCCAAGTGCCCAGCAAGGTGGGGCTGGAAAGCAGCTCTACACGATCTGGCGGCTTCTCAGCCTCGGGCGGAGCAGGCGTTTGAGAGTACTCCTGGCAGTGCTGTCATGTACACAGCTTGCTGTCGGGAGAATTGGCTGAGAGGGAACGCTGGGATCATTGTACGGAATTGTTAGCCAGCTGCAGGCTCTTGACTCACAGTCTCAGAAAGATACATTTACGGTGTCTGGCACGCATCGCACCGTAGTGCCCAACGTGTCTCTGACCAGGGCCCCCTGAGGGCTCCAGAGGCGCCAACATGTCATCGGCACAGAGGAGGCGGGGAGAGGGTGCCTCGGGACGCTTTTGAGCGCCATTGTCTTGTGTGACTCTCAGCAATGACAGCCCCCGTTAGGGACCCCTGCCTGGGTCAGGATCGGTGCGCACAGCCAGCCTGAAGTCTGACATTGATTGGCCTGCTCCGACCTTTACACTGGTGTCCTAGCATTCCGGGATAAAACCATGTTCTTGACAGACAGTTCCGTTCTTACATTTGGGGAACCTTCTTGAAAGGGGATAGATTAGAAACAAAAGGTGAGTTCTCCTTTGGGTTAAGACCCAGATGAATTACTTTTAACCCAGGTTTTCTCTTTTGTTCCATGATGGACTTTGAGTGTGTGGTCAAGAGGGTGGCAGCATTGTTTAATACGGGCCCTGTGAAGGAAGCTGGCCAGGTTCATCCTCGGGTGATGGCCACAGCGCTGTCTCTGTTGACTTGGCAGACACTGCGTATGCAAAGAACAAGTTGAATGGCAAGTGGTATTACTTTGATGACAGCAACGTGTCCCTGGCCTCCGAAGATCAGATAGTGGTGAGTAGGCTGTTTGCCGGCCCTTCCTTCCACCGTTGTGCGTTCAGACTGGGCTGGATTGGGGTTAGCCAGTGTTTGGAGCTCCTGGTGTGATGGTGGGGGCGAGGGGCCGTAGAGAGAGAGCTGGCTGCCGTTCTTTCTGGACTCCGTGATGGTGTGCATGGTCCGCCTCCCGGGAGAAGGACCCTTCCCCCTCCACCAACCCCCACACCCCCTGGAGCATGCCTTGACCAGGGCGACCATGAGCTCCAGACCTGACCCCGATTGCTGCAGCCACAGCCAGCTTGGTCCCTCTCGTTTTGCAGACGAAAGCTGCCTACGTGCTGTTTTACCAGCGTCGGGATGAGGAGCCCCACCAGACCCCTGCGGTCCCCGCTTTCCCAAGCAGCTCCCAGCAGGGCGTGGGGGATGAGGAGGCCTGCAGCATGGACACTAACTGATGCTGCTTCGGCACCCCGGGGGACCCCCACGAGAGCATCCGTGACACTCTGAAGAGGGCTCACCTCAGTCTGAAACCCAGATGGAGTGCCCTTCTTAATGGGCAGAAGACAGAAAAAAAGACTTTGCTCAGAAGGGTTATGTCCAAGAGACTGAAATTATTTTTCTTTTTAAACAGGTGGTGAGAGGTTTCTGTACAACCCGGAGCTGCTGCAGGGCGGGCGGGCGGGACAAGGTGCCTCAGGGCACCTGAGGTCTGGGTTTGGGGTCCCCTCAGCCAGTGGCTCACAGGGAAGCCAGCCCTGAGTACACCACGCCCCCTTCTCCCCTGCTGTGCACCGAGATGAACTTATAAATTCCCTGAGCAATGTTGGTTCTCCCTGGAGCCTTCTTGGAATTCCCAGCCTGCTGCCCTTCCCGCTGGGGAACTGAAAGGAGAAGGTTCTCCTGTTGGCCTCTCCTGCCCCACCACCTGTGGCGCCACCGGCTGTCACCTAACTGGGAACCCAGCCAGTCCTCCCTGTTGGTTTGAGGCCGGGTCTTGGCCGGGAGAGGGGCAGCCCGCGTGTTTGCAGCCGCTGCGTAGTTCCCGGTGGGGGCCGCCCCGCCGCACGCTCTCCCACCGGGTCGCGCGTGCCAGCGTGACGTCTGACCTTTAACCCGGCCCGTGGGGCTGGGGACGCGCGGCGACCGTTGGCCGGGCAGTGTCTGCTGCTCGGTGAGGACGTGGTTGCGGACTCAGGCCCTAGGGTGGCGCGGGGGTTGGGCGGGAAGCGGATCGCGGCTTCCTCTGGGAGAACCAGGACGGGGTAGGGGCGATACCGGGTGCGGGGGGGGGCACCCTGCCCGCCCCCTTGTAGGGCGAGAGCAGGTCCCGCCCGCGGGCGCCGTGGTGATGCGAGCCCCCATCCAGCGGGGGTGGCCTGCCAGCCCGTGCATGGTCGTGCCGTTTGCATTTCCAGTGCATCCCGTAATCGCCCCGGTGCCTTGTAGGGGAAATGTCCGAGAAACTGAGAAGATGCAGAAAGGAGCTGACCGCGGCCATTGACCGGGCCTGTGAAGGAGCCAGTCTTGCCCGGGAGTGCCCGGGCGCGCAGAGGC